TTTCAGGTTATAGTATTTTCTGGAGGGTTAGAATAGTGAAGAAAGGCGGAAGTGGTCAATATTGTTGAAAGACAGATAACAATATGATCAGAGTTAAAAATGGATTGTTTCTTTAGTAGAAGTGCCACAGTCGACCTAACTGAAAGAGGAAAATGGAACAGGATAGATGTGAGATGAGTAGGAATAACAGAACTTCTGTTCGCTGAGATTTTAAGTGATACATTGATTGTTTGAAAATGAATGTGAGTTCATGAAGGAAGTCAAAAGGATCTCCTTCCCTGTGAAATTTTTGACATAAGTAAAGGTCCCTTTAAGAATGAATTTTGAATGTTTTCTAATCAACAGTTCAGAGATGTTATTACACACCTTTGGAGTAGCTAGGGATTCAACTTGTCCTCCTGGTCCAGGGGCACATGCACTACACCTGCAACATAACAGCTCTCCTAAGAATGGACCAGTGTAGATATTTTGTATCAACCTGTTCAGATGTGTTATTACAACACTCTGGAGCAGCTGAGGCTTGAATCCAGGCCTCTTGGCTCAGAGGTAGGGACAGTACACCATGCCACGAGAGTCCTTCTAAGAATGAACCTGGGGATTTTTTGTCGAAGGATGAGTTGGGGGGTTGCAATTTTTTCACCTAATTTTCTAAACAATCTATTCAGAAATGTTGTTACACACCTCTGGAGCAGGTGGGACTTCAACCCAGGCTTCCTGGTCCAGGGATAGGGACACTATAACTGCACCACAAGTGGGCCATCAACTGAAAAGTCTTTTTTAAATTTTACCTGTTTTTCTAATCAACCTGTTCACAGATGTTATCACACATGTCTGGAGCAGGGGATACTTGAACATAGGCTTCCCAGTCCACGGGTGTGTGAAATTATAAGCTTTCACAGCGCTGCTCCTTGACTTCACGCGAAGAAGGAGCAGCGCTGCGAAAGCTTGTGATTTCAAATAAACCTGTTGGACTATAACCAGATGTTGTGTGGCTTCTGTCTTTGTTTTTGGAAGAGGTAGAGTGTTTTATCTCCCCTTGCAACTTCACTTTGTTTTAGCCCCCTCACCCTCTCCTTACTTCTCCTTTGCCTTTAATTGTTTGCATTGCCCTAAATGGACATTGTACATTCATCAATCAATTGGAAAGTACAGGTAATTTACTAGTGGTGGTTAATAGTTGAAAAATTACCAGGGGTGATTTGGTGATGCGAAGAAAAGGAACTTTCAGTTGTGCGTAAGAGCATTTCTGGATATGCAAAAAGGGCTTTCTTTGTTTTAGATGGCCATCAAATGGGCAGGAGTGTAATATTTTGCTCTCCAACACTGTTTTGATCTTATTCTCACCCTTTTTTTCCGCACTTGTTGTTTTCTTTTTGTTATTGTTATACTTCCCCTGGTAGGCGGTTCTTGAAATTTGTTATAACAAGGTGTAGAGCTGGATGAACACAGCAGGCCAAGCAGCATCAGAGGAGGAGGAGGAAAACTGAGCTTTCCTGCTCCTCTGATGCTGCCTGGCCTGCTGTGTTCCTCCAGCTCTACACCTTGTTATCTCAGACTCCAGCATCGGCAGTTCCTACTATCTCTTGTAATTTGTTAGTTGGGTAGTCTGGTGGCCAGACTTTCAACAACAAAGGTTGGCTTTTGTTGGGAACGGGAGAGAGCGAACTGGAGTTTGTATTGAACTATAAAATACAGATAAAGAGTGATGGTTGACAGAGTGACTCCTGCTTTGTGTAAATGTGTGATTAACAAGATAACAGATTGTTCTGACACCGATAACAGGAGAAATGTTACTCCAGATTCAGTAAAGAGGAACGAATTAGATCACTGAGACAAATTAACAGTGGGTACAATGAAGATGATCAAGAAGTCTAAAGTAAAAATTATTAAAGTTAATAATAGCAAGATAACTAATCCAGAAGAGAACAGACTTTAGGAAGTCAGTAGTGAGTCAGCTAAAGTGAAGTGGGAAGGGAAATTGGCACAAGGACTACAGATCAACATTGAGATATTATCAAAAAGGAGATTACAAGGTTGTGAAATGAGTACCTTAAAATGCTTTTATTCTTCATGACAGTGTGGAT